AGTGTACATTGGTTACTCATTGAAGGTAATAATAGTGTACGTTGGTTACTAAGTAGAGGTAATAATAGTGTACATTGGTTACTAAGTAGAGGTAATGAAAGTCTACATTGGTTACTTATTAGAGGTAATGAAAGTGTACATTGGTTACTCATTGAAGGTAACAATAGTGTACATTGGTTTCTTATTAGAGGTAACAATAGTGTACATTGGTTACTAAGTAGAGGTAACAATAGTGTACATTGGTTACTAAGTAGAGGTAATGAAAGTCTACATTGGTTACTTATTAGAGGTAACAATAGTGTACATTGGTTACTTATTAGAGGTAACAATAGTGTACATTTGTTACTAAGTAGAGGTAACAATAGTGTACATTGGTTACTAAGTCGAGGTAACAGTAGTGTACATTGGTTACTAAGTAGAGGTAACAATAGTGTACATTGGTTACTAAGTAGAGGTAACAATAGTGTACATTGGTTACTAAGTAGAGGTAACAATAGTGTACATTGGTTACTAAGTAGAGGTAACAATAGTGTACATTGGTTAGTAAGTAGAGGTAACAATAGTGTATGTTGGTTATTTATTGAAGGTATTAATAAAATTGAAACTGTGAACTACAGAGTTTTTATGGTTAATTGTTAGGCTTGTTAGCCTCTGATACTGTACCAGCTTTCGGTATTTAAACGATAACTTTCCATAACAAAATACTTTCTAGTATATGTTGGCTTTTAGCATTGGAGTACTGTAGACCAACATTTTTCAACCTTTTTGATACCGGGGACTGCCTCCCAGCCTCTCTATACTGTCGTGTGTCACAAAATTGCAAATACAATAAAAACCATTATTATTTATATATGATTATTGTGTCAGTTTTTGTTTTGATGAAATTCTGTGGACAAAAATGGCATCTGTGATGGACCAGTAGTTGGAAAAGCACTGCTGTAAATTATTGATCCGGGTTATTGTTGCCTAGATGCATCAGTTTTTGTCCAAATGAAGTATATCTTAACCTTCGTGAAATAAAAAACTTGAGTAAAAAAGAAATAAATGTGGCAAGCATGTACAGTTATGAAATTGATGAGCTTGCTGTGTACAATTGTTAAAACAAGTTCTGTATTACAGTACACATATTCACTGTTTATCAAAAAGGTTAACGTAAGAATTGATCATAGTCTGGCTTTTGTTTTATATTGTAAACAATGAAATGTGACAAGGCATTGGAAAACAACATCTTATGGACATGACTTGATCGGTTGTTGTTGTGGTTGTCACAGAAAATAGTGTGGCCTTTCATACAGTTGTATAATAATGAGAGTAAAAGTCACAAAATGTAATTAAATAAATTATGTGCAATTATAAAATTGGAAGTTGTATTCTGTGTTAAATTTTTAATAAGCATTTGTTGATTAAATTATGATTAGTTCATGAATTAATTAATTAAGTGAAGGTAATCTAGTTGTTATAATTATAATACAACTTTGAAAGGTTTCAATGACTTTATTCCCGGGATTTGAACTGGGAAAAATTCAAAATGTTGAAAATAATTTATGTAAAACATTTTATTTTAGAAGGCATTAAAAAGGTTTGGTAGAAGAATAATTAATATTTATGTGTTCATAGAGTTGGGCGTGTCTCGTTTATAATAACTCATCTTTTCCATACCAGGAGATAAAGTTTACGTACGTATATAAAGTAGTTGTTTCAGAGTGATATTTATTACTTAATTTGAAGTAGGAAACTCATGCACTGTAGTGAACTCTATTGTGTCACCATGACATTAATCCCTATCCATTTTGATCATGAAATACCACAGTATCAACAAAATTTATTACAGAGTTTTAGATAATGAATCATGCGAGAGACTACCAGTGTAGATGAGTTTCCAGACATCACTTGTTAGTTAAAATTACAATCCCTTGTTAATAATTCAAAACGGACTCCCAGCTATTCCACTTTGTGTGACAAAATATTGAATTGGCAAATGGAACAATTTATGTTTATTACAGGTCTTGTACTTACATACCATGCTCTCAAAAAATCATTCACATCACTATTTGAACTTCAACGAGAGAACATGAGGAATATAAAATAAAGTTAGAGGGCAAAATATTTCAGTTTGTTTTGAAGTACACATTGAAGTGTCTACTTTAAAACAAACTTAAAACCAGGAAAGATTCAATAAAATATTTTAATATTTTTTTTGTTTAGTTTTTAGGATTATAATTGAAATGAAATTCAAGCATTTACACTTACATGTAAGTTACCAGCATATTATGACTGTTAGTTGCAAGTTTTTGGACTAAACATTGCATTACCTGTAAAATACTTTATTTAGTAAAATGTTTGTTTTTGTAAGGTATTTCAAAATCATAAAAAATTAAAGGCTTAGAGAACACTATAAAGTAAAGATTGTAGTTTGGTGATAAGTGTAAATAATTTTCAGCTTATTTTTAAATATCACTTTAATTTTAGGTCTGTTAATATGTAGAAAGATTTAACTCAAAATATAGTCTCCCTTTTAGTATATGTGTTTGTGAAATATATTATTTGAAAGTGCTATTTAAGATTTCTCTGTTGTTTTCTTCTTAAACTAAATTATTTATGCTTGTGGTTTTTAACAATATTTTACCTTGTAGAAAGAATCTGAAAACTTCAGTTAATATATAGCAAAAAAAATAAATGTTTGTGTTATAAAGGTTTCTGTAGAGTTCAGTAGCACACTATTCATTATTATACATTATGATGTAGAGTTCAGTAGCACACTCTTCATTATTGTACGTTATGATGTAGAGTTCAGAAGCACACTCTTCATTATTGTACGTTATGATGTAGAGTTCAGAAGCACACTATTCATTATTGTATGTTATGATGTAGAGTTCAGTAGCACACTCTTCATTATTGTACGTTATGATGTAGAGTTCAGTAGCACACTCTTCATTATTGTACGTTATGATGTAGAGTTCAGTAGCACACTCTTCATTATTATACGTTATGATGTAGAGTTCAGTAGCACACTATTCATTATTATACATGATGATGTAGAGTTCAGTAGCACACTATTCATTATTATACATTATGATGTAGAGTTCAGTAGCACACTCTTCATTATTTTACGTTATGATGTAGAGTTCAGTAGCACACTTCATTATTGTATGTTATGATGTAGAATTCAGTAGCACACTATTCATTATTGTACATTATGATGTAGAGTTCAGAAGCACACTATTCATTATTGTATGTTATGATGTAGAGTTCAGAAGCACACTATTCATTATTGTATGTTATGATGTAGAGTTCAGAAGCACACTATTCATTATTGTACATTATGATGTAGAGTTCAGAAGCACACTATTCATTATTGTACGTTATGATGTAGAGTTCAGTAGCACACTATTCATTATTGTACGTTATGATGTAGAGTTCAGTAGCACACTCTTCATTATTGTACATTATGATGTAGAGTTCAGTAGCACACTATTCATTATTATACCTTATGATGTAGAGTTCAGTAGCACACTATTCATTATTATACATTATGATGTACAGTTCAGTAGCACACTATACATTATTGTATGTTATGATGTACAGTTCAGTAGCACACTATTCATTATTATACATTATGATGTACAGTTCAGTAGCACACTTCATTATTGTATGTTATGATGTAGAATTCAGTAGCACACTATTCATTATTGTACATTATGATGTAGAGTTCAGAAGCACACTATTCATTATTATACATTATGATGTACAGTTCAGTAGCACACTATTCATTATTATACATTATGATGTACAGTTCAGTAGCACACTATTCATTATTATACATTATGATGTATAGTTCAGTAGCACACTATTCATTATACCTTATGATGTACAGTTCAATAGCACACTATTCATTATTATATGTTATGATGTAGAGTTCAGTACATGAATGTTTGTTTTTCAGGAGTGGTAAATTATGATTAATTTCTTTTTCAGAACAAACTCAGATTCTGCGTTACACCAAAGTGCAACAAACCCCCAAGAAAACTTTTACGTACTTAATACATCACCAGCGAGACGAGGTAAGTAGATTGTTCAGTTCTTGTGTTTTAATTTCAAACATTACAATGAATATTTATTGAATATGGCACAGTGGATGAGAAAGTCCTTAATTTAACAGTTAACTGCTAGTAAGTGTAAGACCCTTGAATTTCTACTGTTATATTTACTGATCGCTACTAATCCTCTAGACTGAAAATTAACTTACATTTACTTACATCAACATTTGCTACATTATTTGCAAGTTTTCTGAAAATGCATGCAGTGAAGTGCAGTATCATTATCGAATGTTAGGTATAGTTGAGCTTTCCAAGTTTTCTCTTATCTACTTTGCGTAACAATAGGAGAGATGACAGTTATAATGCATAAAGAATCTCCTTGTAATTGTTGTTAATTATTAGTTAGTAAGTTTTATGTATTCTCAAACTTTATATTTCCAGAATGGTTAGGTGTACCAGGGTTCAAAATTAGCAGTATCGAGTAGCAAATGTGCCACATAAAATTACAGTTTAATACTTTCATTTTCTGAAATACCTGCATTTTATTCAGTTGAAAATCTGACCACATATTCACAAGATTAGCTACTGATAAATACAAAAATGAAATATGTTTATGCCTAGTCTCAATTATTTTATGGGTATTTCACATGGAATGATATGTTTAGGCCTAGTCTCCATTATTTTATGGTTATTTCACATGGAGTGATATGTTTAGTCTTAATTTCCATTATTTTATGGGTATTTCACATGGAATGATGTGTTAGGCCTAGTCTCCATTATTTTATGGGGGAGACTAGGCCTAAACACATCATTCCATGTGAAATACCATAAAATAATACTAGGCCTAAACACATCATTCCATGTGAAATACCATAAAATAATGGAGTGGAGACTAGGCCTAAACACATCATTCCATGTGAAATAATTATTTTATGGATATTTCACATGGAACGATGCGTTTAGGCCTAGTCTCCATTATTTTATGGATATTTCTCATGGAATGATGCGTTTAGGCCTAGTCTCCATTATTTTATGGATATTTCTCATGGAATGATGTGTTTAGGCCTAGTCTCGATTATTTTATAGATATTTCACATGGAATGATGTGTTTAGGCCTAGTCTCCATTATTTTATAGATATTTCACATGGAATGATGTGTTTAGGCCTAGTCTCCATTATTTTATGGGTATTTCACACAGCAAAAGGGAAGATCACCACTACATTTGATGAAATGAGTGAATGGCTCATAAAAGTTCAACGTTTTTTAACTTATGTTTCTGCATGAATAGATGTGCTAACATGTTATACATAAACTTAATCTTTTGACCAATTAAAATACCTATCCAGTATATTGGCTCTTCTCATAGTGACTAAAAGCACATTCACACCAACAGTAATACTGTTGTATTGTGAGAACAACTTAATTATTGAGATTAATAGGCATACAAATTGTACAAAGTATTTAACTGAACAATATACTGAAACAGCTGTATAAATTCCTTTAGAAGGGCATACTTTTGCTGCCCTAAATTTAGGAAGTTTATTACCTGAGTAAGTGATTTTGATACCTACTTTTAACCAAGCTGACTAGTTCTTGCTACTTAAAAACAAGCTAATTTCTAACCCTGGTGTGTACCATCTGTTATCTGTGTTCCTGGTAATTGGACGATGTTATATACACTTCTGCATATGTTCATCGACTCTTTTTATAAATATGAAGTTTTACAAACAATTAAAAAAGTATTGTTTACAATGAATTCATTTCTGTTAACTGAAAGAAACAGTTTTTTAGTGTTTAAAATTCTTTTTGCAGTCCATGACATGGATAGTGGTGTTATACACAATAGCTATAATAATCATTTGAAGGAGTACTGGGACGTCAGAAAGGTTGGTTTGTACTTTTAATTTTCTAATTATTTAGTTATGTCTGTTTTCTTTATTGTAAAGGAAAAGCATTATTTTATAACTGTCATACGTTTTTATTATACTCCTTCTGCTATACGTATCTTAATAATCATTTTTATTTTTGGCATATCTTATTTTTGGTGGCCTTCTTGTCTCGTTCATTTTTAAGGAAATATTTTGTTACTATTGTACCTCCTTATTGTAAAGTCTCGTTTTTTGGGATCCATATGTCAATAATCATTTGACTGTCACTGTTTTTGTATTTCCTTTTTAAGAGGATAAGCATCATGTTATCATATCTTATTTCTGGAGACCTTGTCATTAATCAGTTATTCTCTCATAGATAGTTGGAATAATCAAAACCTTAATTTTGATTAGTAAATTATTTTATGAGTCTTAATCTAATAAAACCAAACAAATTCAAATTAATCAAAAATAATATTGAGAATTTGTAATGGCAATATTTCAGTTACTTGGATTAATATAAAACACCACAATCAGAAACAATCATTTGATTACTTGATTATTTTCATAATATTAATAGATTTAACTGTAATTTTGATTAATGGTTCAGCTCTGTTAAAGAAAACTCAAATTACTAATAAAGATATTTACTCATTAATGTTCATAGCTTTTTGAGTTTTGCAGTTGGTAAAGAATGAATAATTTGTTTTTTAATCATTAAAAAAATATATTCTGTTATTAAACGATTTAAGGTTTAATTAAAGAATAGAAATGAACAGAATGTGTAGATAAATTTGTAGTTTTGATACTGAGAATTTTACATGATTTAGAATCTTGTGTGATCATGCATTCAAAGAATTGGTTAAGGTGTAGTTGAAATATTGTGTAAACCAACAATAAGGTGTAGTTGAAATATTGTGTAAACCAACAATAAGGTGTAGTTGAAATATTGTGTAAACCAACAATAAGTTGTAGTTGAAATATTGTGTAAACCAACAATAAGTTGTAGTTGAAATATTTTGTAAACCAACAATAAGGTGTAGTTGAAATATTATGTAAACCAACAATAAGGTGTAGTTGAAATATTGTGTAAACCAACAATAAGGTGTAGTTGAAATATTGTTATACACTTTTCTTACTAGAAATGTTTATTGGGCCTTTTAACAGTTAAGTGTTAGAAATTACTATTCATTTTATTGTAATGTTTCTTCACACATTAAAGAAATTTTCACTTTTTTTGGTAAGTATATTATTATACTAAGGCCAGAGTTATCATACACGTGTCTAGATAATGCTTTCTGTGTATTTTAAGTAAATACAATATAACTTTTAACTTAGTTTTACATGACTTATGATGTCTGATTATAATCACAAATTACTGATTATTTTCTTTATAAGAAAAACAGATTTTATGTATGTAATCTAGTTTAAAGTTTTGGTTGATTAAGTGTTTTTTTTTGTTCTAAAGTTATTTTTATGTGAACTAATCATATTGTCAGCTTTTGAATAATTTGAAAACATGAAACATAATCTCATGGCAGTTTTTCTAAAAACAGCTACCGCAACAGGAGGGAGGATTATCTCCACCGTCACCTCATGCACGCCCCAAATCATGTGAAGTTCCTGATATCAAGTAAGATTGTGGAACTTTCAGTTATGGTACCAGATTTTTTCTATTTCTGAATGAATGTTTAACCATTGTTTGAAATATTTTCAAAATTGATTATTCCAGAATATCCAAAAGTCAATTTATTCCCGAATATATATGATAATTTTAGGCATCCAGTAATAATTGGGCTTGAGAATCTCCTGAAAGTGGACAAAATTTAATAGTTTTTATTTGATGTGATTAAGACAGAAGTCTTAACCCTATGGACATGAGATGGTCAAAGTCCTGGGTGTAGATGGCCTGATTGCTAACTAAACAATGGACCTGACTGTAGAAGGTCTGAAGGCTAACTAAACAATGGACCTGAGTGTAGATGGCCTGATGGCTAACTAAACAATGGACCTGAGGGTAGATGGCCTGATGGCTAACTAAACAATGGACCTGAGTGTAGAAGGTCTGAAGGCTAACTAAACAATGGACCTGAGTGTAGAAGGTCTGAAGGCTAACTAAACAATGGACCTGAGTGTAGAAGGTCTGAAGGCTAACTAAACAATGGACCTGAGTGTAGAAGGTCTGAAGGCTAACTTAACAATGGACCTGAGTGTAGATGCCCTGATGACCAACTAAACCATAGACCTGAGTGTGAAGTG